AAAACATAATATAAAATTTAATGTCTATGTATTTATATATTTATGTTTGGATGTGTATGGGGGGCACTGGTATGTGCAGAGGCCAGAGAAGGCTATTAGGTGCTTTGCTCTAGGATTCTCCACCTTATTCCCTTTAAGGGATAAGGGTCTTTCACTGAACCTGGGCTGACAGTCAGCAAGGTCCAATGATCCTCTTAGCCATGTCCCCCACAGTACTAGAGTTATAGGTGCACTTGCAGCCACATCCAGATTTTTATGTGGGTGCTAGGGACTAGAACGCGGGTCCTTGTGCTTGCATAGTAGGCACTCTTACTTGTACATTGAGCTATCTCTCCAGCCCTGATCTTATGGTCCCCCCCTTTGGTCTGAGACAGGGTCTCCCTGTAGCCCCAGCTGACCTGGCACTCACTATGTAGACCAGGCTGCCGTCAATCTCACCGAGATCCACTTGCCTCTGCCTCCTGAGTGCTGGGACTAAAGGCATGTTCCACCAGGCCTGGCTGATCTTACATATTTTTAAGAGGACATTTTAGTGCTATTAAGTATGTTCACATGATTGAGAAACAGATCTCTAGAACCTTTTCATCTTATAAATCTGAAACATCCTTTAAACAACTTCCCTTTATTGCTTCTTTTGACTCTTGGTAACTACCATTCTCCTTTCTGTGCTTTGAATTTAATTAGTTTAGACACCTCATCTAGGTTGAACAATACAGTATCTCCTTTTTGTAGCAGGTTTTTTTTTTTCCACTTATTTAACATTCTGAAAGTTCATGTTACAGCATGTAAAGGATTGCATCTCTTTAAGACTGATTAATGTTTCTTTGTATGTATATACGACATTTAGTTTATCCAGTCATTTCTTAGTGGACACTTACATTGTTTCTATCTATTGGTTAGTAAATGCTGCTGTGTACATAAGCTACAAATATCTCTTCAAACCCCATTTGTAAGTCTTGCAGTGACAGACCCAGAAGTGGAATTAGTAGATAATGTAGTAGGATTTTATAAATTATTTTATTTTTTTTAAAAATTTATTTTTACTTTATGAGTGTTTTCCTGCATGTATGTAAGTGTACCCATGTCGTACAATGCCCATAGAGGTCAGAAGAGGGCGTCAGATCCCCTGGAACTGGAGTTATGTACAATTAGCCACCATGTTGGTGCTGGGAATTGAACATGGGTCCTCTGCAAGAGTAGTCACTGCTCTTAACAAATGAACCATCTCTCCAACCCCTTTATTTTTTTAATGGGGTCACATGTAGTGCATGCTGGGCTCAAACTCCAGCCTTGTTTTTAATTTTTAATTTTAATTTAATCTCCAGCCTTGTTTTAATTTTTTCAGGAATCTTCATGTTTTCTGTATGGTTCACACCCCATCATAATCTTATCTTACAATTTCTCTGCAGTTTTTGGATAGTGGCCATCATAATCAGTATGAGGTTTTATCTTATTTTGATGTTGATTCATATTACTTTAATAACGATGTGTTTCTTTTCATATGATTTCAGCCATTTTCCTTATTTGTGGTGTTCTGAATATTTCTATCCAATTTTTTGTTCACTTTTTGATTGAAAAGGAGGATCTCATAAGACTCTCAAGAAGTTGAATAAAGAGTTGAATAAAGGGGGCTGGAGAGATGACTCAGCAGTTAAGAGCACTGACTGCTCTTGCAGAGGATCTGAGTTTGATTCCCAGCACCCACATAATGTCTAACAACTGTCTGTAACACCAGTTCCAGAAGATCTGATACCCTCTTCTGGCCTCCAGGGCATTGCATGCACAAGGTACACTTACATACATGCAGGCAAAACACATAAAATAATTTTTTTTTTGCCCACTTCTCAGTAGTAAGATGACATTGCAATTCAGCTATATGCAAAAATAATTTTTTTAAAGAGTTGAATAAAACTGTGCCTGATATTGTAAGCCTTTAATCCCAGCTGCAGACACAGGTGAATCTCTGTGAGTTCTAGGCCAGCATGGTTTACATATCAAATTCTAGACTACCAGAGGGTACATAGTGAAACCTTGTCAAAAAAAAGAAGTTTCTAAAAAGGGGATTAAAAGCCAGGAAAAATTCTTATCATAAAAGCCAAGAAAATAGTATCAAAAGAGGAAGCAAAATCATAATCTAACAACATGTAGCATTTAAATACCAAGAAATATTGTACAGATTTTTGAATAGTTTTAAAACTTAAATCTGGTAAATTCTGGTAAATGCTTATAAATTTTATCCTCATTTTATAAATGAGAGAAGAGAGACAAGATCATGTGTTCATTTTAGCATTCTTTGTAAATATCAAAAAATCAGAAGTGGGCCAGGAGTGGTAGTGCACACCTTTAATCCCAGCACTTGGGAGGCAGAGGCAGGCAGATCTCTGTGAGATCAGACCACACTGGTCTACATGGTGAGTTTCAGGCTTGCTGGGGCTACAGAGAGACCCTGTCTCAAAAAGACCAAAGGAAAAAAATATCAGAAGTGACCTGAAATCTAACAGTTGGAGATTAGTTGCATTGCAGTTTGTAGGGCATAATGAAACTATTAAAAACTTTTGGCTAGTATGTACCAAAATGAAAGGTTTCTTTAATACATTTTGTATGACAAATGAAAGTTGCATTGTGTGTATAGCATTGTTTTTCAAAAGCACTTTTGGAAAATGAAGCCTGGAGTTGAATCTGTTTTAGACAATTAAATGAACAAATAAAAAATAAGAATAATCAAAAATAAATAAGTGCAAAGCATATTTTTGTTGTTCTTCTTATCCAGTGAGTACCTAGGAAGGTGTCTAGAAGATTATACATCTAGTTATTAACAGGTATTTCTGGAAATTGAGCAGTCTTAATTTTTAATTAATTTATCCCCCTTTTGAGTTTTGTGTGTATGATACTATGTACGTCTTTTGTGTGCATGTGCACATATATGCACACATGTAGTATTTACTTTTCTGTTGCTGTGATAGAAACACCGTGGCCAAGGGAACTTATAAAAGGAAGAGTTTGCGGGGCGGTGGCGCATGCCTTTAATCCCAGAACTCGGGAGGCAGAGGCAGGCGGATCTCTGTGAGTTTGTAGCCAGCCTGGGCTACATAGCAAGTTCCAGGTCAACTGGGGCTACAGGGAGACCCTGTCTCAAAAAGACCAAATAATAATAATAACAACATTTCAGCAGAGGTGGATGGAGTAGGAGCAGAAGCTAAGCTCTCACATCTTCAAGTAGATACAGGAAGCAGAGATTGACTAGAGATCTGTCAAGGCTTAAGAACTCTGTAAGCCCACCCCCAAGTGACATGGTTCCTCCATACCTTCTAAGACCTCCCAAAACAGCACCACCAACTGGAGACAAAATGTCCAAATACTTGCAGCCTATAGGGGACATTCTCATTCAAACCACTACATCTGTGTACGCCAGAGGTCAATGCTGAGTGTCTTCCTCCGTCATTCTCCATCCACCCTGTTATTTTTTGAGACAAGGACTTTCACTGAACCTGGAGCTTATGAACTTGAGTAGGCTGGCTGGACAACGAAGTCTAGAAATCTGCTTGTCTCTGTACCCCTCACAGTACCCTCCAGCACTGGTCTCTCTCTCTCTCTCTCTCTCTCTCTCTCTCTCTCTCTCTCT